AATAGCTCAGCCGGAATTCCAACATCTCCACTAGCTTTGTTTGTAGTGATGCTTCCTGAGGCCCGCTTGACTTCACACTGCCGGGTGTCTGGCTCTAGGTGAGTGATCGCACCATCGTGGTTATCCGGGTCGTTAGACCTTTTTTGCACAGTTCTTCTGTGTGTTCTTGCCGACCCCTCTTAGTCTCCTCTACTTCTGCTGTGTCTGTGCTGTTTTTGGTCCTTTATTGAGCCCACCTTCACGTGAAATGCTCCCTTGGTGTCTCCGGTTTTCTTAAAGAGATCTCTGGTCTTTCCCATTCTGGTGTTTTCCTCTACGTCTTTGCATTGTTCGCTTAAGGAGGCTTTCTTACCTCTCCTTGCTGTTCTCTGGAACTCTGCTTTCAGATGGGCATATCTTTCCCTTTCTCCTTTGCTTTCACTCCTTTTCTCAGCTGTTTGTAAGACAACCGCTTCCTCAGACAGCCACTTCGCCTGCTTGCATTTCTTTCTCTTGGGAATGGTTTTGGTCACCACCTCTTGTGGAATGTCCATGTAGTTTTTCCTATGAGTTTTCACTGGTGTTTGACTGTTTTTAATAAACTCACAGTGAATATTTGCAGTCCCCAAAATTAGTTCCTTGGGATACCAGTAAGCAATATATGGGGAAAAGTATTCCATGGTCAATAAATACATCTTGGAAACCTTGGCTTAAAAAACTATTCAGTAGGTTCTTTATGATGATTTCTCAAAGACTTAAATAAGCTACTCTTCTCTGTGACTCACCAGGATGGGAGGCTGCTATGGTTTGTTTGGGCTATGACAAGGTTTTGGAGGAAGTGCTTTCAGGATTAGTGACCACAAACAGCTTCATGGGACACTAACCTCTACCCAAAGACTATACCAAATTTCAACACATAGTTTCAGAAATTGAATTATCAAATTAACAGGAATGAATGTTTGTGTTCTTGATGCACATGTCAGTTGCCTTTCCCAAAGTGAGCACATTGCTTAAGGAAGTGTAAATTACTACCCAATACCTGTGCCGGCATACCCTCCCACTCCCCCAGGGGTGACTGTGAATTGTTTAAATCTGATCTGATTTGGTAATGTTTCTGCAACTGTAGAGAGGCCCAGCATTTCCCATGCTATTGATTGCTTGCTGCTGCTTTTGTGAATACCTTCTCAGATCCTTTGCCTGTCTATTGGGATCTTAGCTACTGTTATGAAAATCAGTGGTCTATTTTTATAATCAGATATTAATGCAGAATTTCATATACTTCTAGCAGCCATTTTCCAAGTTCTTATGTATCGTTTATTTTTTAGTTAGGTTATTTTTTAACCTGTGGTGCTTCTACATTTTCATGGATCAGTTCTTTAAAGCATTTCTTTCTATAGTTGTTTTTTGGGGTTTTTTTTCTTTTTTGATCAGGTTTCTTTTTTTTTTAATTGGAGGCTAATTACTTTACAATATTATAGTGGTTTCTATAGTTTTTTTTCACCATTTTAAGGCTTAGAAAATCCTTTTATAAAGTTTTACCTAGACACTTAGTAATCACTTCTTGTTTTTTGGTTGTTGTTAACATTAACTCTTAACCCCTCTGGTATTTATTAATATATTAATTTATCTTACACCCTTCCCCCTCCCAGAAAGCTAACCAAGTTTTACAGCACTATTCTCTGAATAATTTTCCCTTCCAAATTAATATATAGTGCCCATACAACCTTTAATAATTGTTATGAAATAAAAAACATTTATCTCCATTTATTAAATCAGCAAATTGAGATGAATGGCAGTTTATTCAGATTCAGTTACTTGGCCAACTTCAGTCTGGAGAGGAGTAGATGTTAATGTAATGCAAACTATGACATTTATAAACTTGCATTTAATTTGATGTTGTGATAAAAATTTTCCTGCCTTGAAGCTCATGGGAGAGATCACTAAAAGGAACATGAGACTAGAGAGCTTAGAGGAATTTGAAAATTAAAATGAAGAAAGGAACGTTTGTCAATAATCAATGTTAGTAATGAGAGCAGCCACTGTGTAAACATTATTGGTTTAATTCTTATAATCCACTCTACCGCTGAGGAAGCAAAAACCCAGAAGTGACTTCCTCTGGCCCTGAGAGCCGGGACAGACAGAGCCAGGACCGCTTCCAGGGCTGTTTCTCGCCAGCCCTGCTGCAGTCGGGTCTGCGGATGTAGCTTCAGCACTCCCCACGGGGCGTTCTTACGGCATCTGTACTTTAGCAAAGAATCAGCATGCTATTCGACATTTATAGGGTAAAGGGGGGGGGGGCAGACTTAAGAAGTGCTTGGCTGAAAGTGTGTAGGTAGGTAAGCGCATCGAAATCCTCTCTTCCGAGCCTGAGCTTGGAGGACCCTGCCGGTGAAGAGTACGCGTTCCATCTGTGTGAGAACATGGGTACCAAGGGGCCCCCTCCCTGTGGGCCAGAAGGTGAGCCCTCCCATCCGCTCACTGCACAGGAGCGAGGCTTTTCTCCAGTGTGCTTTCTCCGCAAGTTCATAGGGAAATTGCAGAACAATCCCTCGTTCCTGTGTGTCTTCAGGCCGCGATGGCTCACTTTTGAAGCCCGAGGCTGATGCTGAGGCAGCGTTGTTTTGCAGACACGCAGTGTTTGTTCCCAGAGCAGGGCCTGTGCCCCTCGGTTTGCCGGCTTTGCAGCTCCCGGGGCTGATCCTCTCAAGTCCCCCGGGAGCCACTTTTGTGGCAGATTCCATTTGGTTTCAAAGGGCCTTGGGAGGGGCGGCGGGGCCACTTGGCGTGATCCCCCCAATCTCCCACGTTAAGAGTGACTTGCAGGCTGCCCTGGCGGGAGCCCGAGCCCAACCCCAAACAGGCTGCCCCTGTTCCCGGCATTGTCTGCGGACCCGGCGTCTTTTCCCAGCTGACCTGCCTGCAAGTGGAGAGATGTGAAAAGTTAGAGACAAAACTGGTCTCTACAGAGTGAGAGAGAGCTTTCTTCTACAGAAAGGAAGGAAATACCTCTGTGGGATTTTATTTTCCCCCCCCCTCCATCCAAAAAATACAAAGAGACTCTCTGTCTTTAATGCGAATGTCGGCTTTAAATCTCTTAGGTTTGGATTAACTCTGCAAAAGAAAAAAAAAATCTGACAGGCTTTCAGATATGACGCAGAAAAACTTTTTTCCCCTCAATTCATGGCGTGCATTTGCAAAGCCAAAGGCTGGTGGGCTGAATAGTGGGCGCCAGTCTCCCCGTCACAGTTAACATCACAATGGTCAGAATTAGCAGCGTCTGTCCCCACCAGGGGACGTTTAATACAAGGTGGCAAAGGCAGGGATAAACCTCTCTTCTCTTGCCCCCCAAATTAAAAGAGATTAAAATTAAACCAAAGAAATGAGGTTATTTTCAGTTACACGACTTAGACTTATCTTACCTTTTTCCCGCAAAAGGAAAAAGAAATGTGGCATTTTGCAGTCATTACCTAACTCAAAAGCTTCCTTCCAACTAAACAAAACCCACTGACTTGATGGACATTTCCTATTACACAGTTATTGTTGGTTTTCACTATTGAGGATGTCAGCCAGCGTGTCGAAGATCATGTTTTGCTTATAAAATAAAATGACTTTTATGTGAATATCTTTCGTCTTGGTGGTGTCCAGAAAGTGGGTGCTGTTCCTCTGAATCCACGTGGCGACATTTATTTTCTGAAATTTGGGGTAATAGCATGTTCTTATTTTTAATGTGTTCAGAGCTGTTTCATCCTAGATACTGGAGTATTCTGCACCAAGAGTCAGTATCGCTGACCTTGTGTTAATGTAGAAAAATTTTAAACAGCAGCTCCTGGTTTCCAAGTGAAAGTCAAAATGAATAGGTAATCTGAAGCACAGCTTAAAATGAGCAGTCTTTATATTTGATATGGATGGATTGATTAGGACTGTTTGTTTTTGTATAATTGTGAAACCACCTATATAAATTAAACTCTAGATCATTTTTAATTCCTGACCCACACGTAGTTTAAAAAAAAGTTTCTTATGTGATATTTAGTGGGATGTAAATGGATGTGCATTAGTTGGCTGCTAAATAATGGAGTTATAACAATATGTTTATGGATTTAAATATGTACTGCATATTTGTTCTTGATAAACAAATAGACTCAAAGTGAAATAAAATATTACTTTTGGTTTTATTTATTTATGTGACACTATCCGCTTTAAGCTGTAGGTAATCTAATTACATTATAAAGGGATTTTTCTTATAATCACAAACAACTAACAGAATTTATTAATTTTTATTATAGAGTCATTTTCTTTGCAACCCCAAAGGCTCTGATATAGCGATTTGGGATTTAATACAAATGAAAGTGTGTTAAAACTTATTTTAACACTCTGTCATTTGGGTTTTACATACTAAATATTTGGCTTGACTTTAGCAATAACAGAATGCACTGAAACAAGTTATGTAAATCTTTGAACAAAAATGAGTATTATCCCTACATAATATCAAATTGTTATTTTTCATAGATACCCTAACTTGTTTATACTGTATTCATGATGTATCTGGATGATGTTTTAGTATCATGTAATATTTTAGAAAAAGTAAATTTTTATTTTCCAGAAATAGTAAATTTAGTTTCTAATTAGGATTGATTTTATGTATTATAAGAGAATTTAATCCAGCATATGTTTGAAGTTTGCTCAAAAAGATAATTTTTTATATTCTAAGTTATAAAAGAAAGTCAAAGTTTATTACTCCATGTTTTGGTCACAATAATAAGAAATTCATAAAAAAATGTGAAAAGATTTGGTACATGATAAAACTTTGCTGTCTTAGCTACTGAGGGAAAAATAGAAAGGCATGTTTTCGTAAATTAGGCTTTTAATTCCAAATATTTCACAAGTTTGAATTCAGAGTTATTTTATGCCCTCTTGCAGAATGAGATTCTTAAAATTATTTCACTTGAAATCGTATAAAAACTTAATTTGTATTTACTGGTGTATTTTTATGGTTTTAAAGTGATACTGTCTCTGACCCTCAGGCGGCCATGCTGTTCAGCTCTGGCGTCTTTTGGACAGGCCTGTTATTTATCCCTGTGGCCTCCTTGCTCCTTGACGTGCTATATAAGGTGTAAGTACAATACTCAGTTATGTACATAGCAACGTAGATGGCGTATTAATCCATTTCTGTAGTAGTGACATCAACTCTAATATAGAGTTTACAAGATAGGAATTAGTAATATTAATTAACTATGTAAATAAAGGAGAAAGGACCGATTGAGGAACTAGAAAACTACATTAGTTTAAAAAAGCCAGCAGAAGTAAAGCAGGTAGTTTCAATTAACATTTTTATTAATCAGCCTGAAAAACCCCTTCAAGGTAGAAGAAAAAATTATGTTATCTCCACACATGCACTCACACACACACACACACCCATAAATGTTTAGTGAACAATAGTTGTGAAAGGAAATTTTTGCTTGCTTGATTCTAAACATATATAAAATAGAGACTAGAAGAATCTACAATTTTATTCATCTTTCTCCAGAATTATAAGTTTTAAAATGTTCTCTCTTCCCACAAAAAAGATATTATTAAAATTAGTTAATGTGATGCTTGTTTAATGACTATGGAAGTTTTATTACTATCAACCTAAACCATTTATGACCATTGTTTCTATAATTATATTACTGCCCAAAATTACGATAATTTTTTAGATTCTATGAAAAAACTCCTTGTATTCTATTACTATTGTACTTAGAAGCAACATGGTAAAAACTTGTTTTATAATGTTTTAAATCTTCACACAAATAGTTCAATCCTTTTTCTTCTCTTTCGCTTTCATTTTTTTGCAGTATCAAGAGGACTGCTTTTAAAACATTAGTAGATGAAGTTCAGGAGCTGGAGGCAAAATGTCAAGACCCAGGAGCAGTTGTGCTTGGGAAAAGGTAAAACACACACTGTTCTTTTCTAAGTGAGCTTTGCATTTTTCCTTTGCTAGCGGCTGGAAATAAGCAGTTAAACTTGTGCTTATCTGTTGACACGGAGCTGGCAGCGTCACTGACAGATTCTGGAATCAGGGAGATGCAGATTGAAATCACATCTCTTCTCGGAGCTGCCTGCCCCTCAGCCAGTTGCTTAGAGCCGGAGCCTCAACTTCCCCATCTGCACAATGGGCGTGGCCATGCCCCCTCCCAGCCAGGGGTGGGAATTGAACCAGTGTCAGTAAAGCAGGTGGCTGCGGGCTTCGCGACCACGAAATGAATGGTGGCCGCAAGCAGTGTTCATTATGAGACTGAGGAAGAAAATGCAGTGTTCGTAGAAAATGCACAGAAGACGGTCCAAGTCAGAGGCTGGGTCGAGTCCGCCGTCCCTCGGGTTCCTCCGTGGTTCGGTACTTCACTGGGAGCTGGCGGGGAGTCACGTCTGAAGCGAGTCCTCTACGTCACCACCGCCCACCCCCACACACCTAAAAAAGCAAGGCCAGAAGGCTAACCGAATTTACTGAGCGTCACAAAGCATTACAAAGAGAAACTGAAGTTATTCGAAAGCACTCTGCAGTGATCCACAGTTATGATGAAAATACCAGGAACTGACGCTCCCTCTCCCGTCACACTAAAGCAAGCCAGCGTTTCGTCTCGACCCTGGGAGACGGTTTGCCCTGGTCTCTGTCGCCTTCACGGTGATGCTCCGTCCTCACTCAGCTGACACGATGGAGTGAGTGTCAGTCGGGGCGCTCGGGCTGAGACCTTGGCCTCCAGCCCTCCCTTGCTCGCTCAGGCCGGAGGGGCATGTCAGTCCCGTCCGCGCCCCTCTCCTGAAAGCAGCAGCCCCGGCCCCTGTCGGGCGTGCACCCCTCACTTCACAGCTTCTCTCACGGAACCGCCATGACATTCGTGCGCAAATCCATCATCCCCATGTTTTCCAGATGGGGAAACCGGGGCCCAGAGAGACCCACGGTCTCCAGGTCCGGAGTGACCGTGAGCCCGTGTCGGCTGAGTCTAGAAACCCCGGTCAGGCACTGTTCTGCCTCCTTAGACGGCTTTTCGGGAACGTAGTGGCGCGGCGCCAGACGGAGCGTGCCTGAAAGCGGACGGCTCTGACCCTCGGTGTCGGCGTCCCGGGGTCCGCGACGAGCTGACGGCCCCTGCCTTCGGATCACGGGAGTATCTCCACCTCCCGCGCCTGCCCCTCATCTCTTCCCTTCGCCTCCAGCTCCACACCAGCTCCACTGCTCTTCATAAACCGCCCCTCAGGAAATGTTTACTCTCGCTTTCCCTCTAGCTGAAAAAAGGATATAGGAAGAGTTCCGGCTCTTAGGAAAGGATGGGGGCATGGATGTGTGTGACCAGGTCCCTTTGCTGTGCATCGGGAACTATCAAAGCGTTGTTAATCAGCTACACTCCAGTACACAGGGTTTGTTTTTTTTAAAAAAAAAAAAGAGTTCCATTAATAGTTCACAGAATCATGAATCAAAATATTCACAATTATTAGGGAAGGTCCACTGATAGCCCTGTTACTGCCCTTAGTAAATTTCTCCTATTTGTGGGTTAATAAAACTTACATTAAGGCCCTTCATGTGATAGTTTTTTCATCATTTGTAGTGTATCAGTGACTTCAACAATTCATAAGTCAGACTGAGGTTCGATGTGATGACCTCTGGTCTCTGGGTCCTAAAGAGTCCATGAATCTGTGATATGTATAGTCCCTTATGTTAAATAAGTCAGAGAGCCTAGAAAGAAAGAAGTGAATTCAGTGTAAATGACTACCAACTTCTCCACAGAAAATGCGTCTGATAGATTTCCTGCTGCCGCTCAGCGCATTTGCCTAAAATAGCGGTTCAGCTTATTTCGGGGACTCAGGACTGAGTTAGCCGTTGGCCGAATGGCCCAGTTGAAGACCCCTGGTCCGGTACGGGCGCCATGTTGCCACTGCTGCTGACGGGTGAGCACAGTGATGGCGGCGGTCAGCCTGGCCGTGGCGTCGCCTGCTGATGGCAGCTCAAGGAAAGGAAGATCTGTGAGAGAGCAGCAACTGGTCGGCAAAGCCTTCACATCAAACTGCGTTCCAAGGCAGCTCGGCGGCTGTCAGATTGACTTTACTGACAGAATTGTTTGAGGAGCCTCGGAGGAGAGTGAGATGAACGTCAAATTTTCAAACATGAGCTGATTTCATCTGCATTTTTCGAAGAGGGCGAAATGGTGATTTCTGTGTCTTCGAGTGACACCAGGCTTCCTTGAGGGCCGACACACGCACATCATTGTATGCTTCCTGGCCTCCGTGTGTGCTGATTCCTTGTCTAGAAGCTGAGACCCTCTTACAGACGGGTAATCCCGTTCCTGGCTTTCAAAACCCAGTCCAAACGCACTTACCTCAGCATTCCACAGATGAAGTCAACCCCCACTCCGCTATCTCTGTATTTTGTTATTCTTGTGTTTCTGCATTTGTTATTCTTGTGTTTCTGCATTTGCCACAGTTTGCTAGAGTCTGTGTCTCCAACATGCGTCTGCTCGCATCCCCTGCTAGACTGAGCTCCTCGTAGCAGAGGCCTGTGTCTTAGTCTTAATGGCAATCCAGCACCAACCACAGAGCCAGGAACACGGTAACATTCAGTTAATATTGATTGAATGGATGAATGAGTGGTCAGGAGAATGAGCCAAGGAATAAGTCCATTAGTGAAAGGGTAGGCGAAAGGATAGCTGAGTAGTGGGCTAGCCTGTGGGAAGTTAAATGAAAATGTGATACATAAGAACGTAGGACGATCTAGGTTACACTTCCCAAACTAGGAAGCTCCAGTGTAATGGTTGCTTACTTTTTTGTCATAGAAGGATGCAGTTCTTAAGAACGACCTTGTAAGTTGATCACCCCAGTTTTTTAACCTTCACTAAGCACGACTATGAAGCCAAGCTAGATGTAAACGCACAGCTTCTCTGTGTCAGAGAAACTAAGTAAGCACCGTATCCAGATTAGTATTTACAATAATTCATTTCTCGTCTCTACTCATTTTCAAAAATTAAAACATCTTGGTTAAAAGGATGTCCTTTTTTAATAGAAATAAGTATGCCATTTATCATATTATTACCCTGACTTCCCTGGTGGCTCAGCTGGTAAAAAATCTGCCTGCAGTGCAGGAGACCCGGGTTCAATCTCTGAGTCAAGAAGGTCCAGGATTTCCCAGGTGAGAATACTGGAGTGAGTTGCCATTTCCTCCTCCAGGTCACTGTGTAGCCATGACTTCTTATTTTGGGTAAAGAAACTAACTCGTAAGCTATGAAACTGTCTTTTGCTGTTACTTTCTATGGACATGCTCCAACACTAGGGAGCAGAAGCATCTACATTTCCGAAATCCAAAAAGCTTTGAAATTCAATTTTTTTTCCACAAGCTTACAGTGAAATTTGCTGGATTTTCAAAACAATTTGTTCTCGAAATATAAGGACGTTGATGGTGTTTATTTTTCTGCAGTGTAAATATGTCTGTGTTTTATAGCAGAAATATTAATTTTGGGGATATGGGTCTCTAAGGTCTCACTTGGGAGAATTACATATATAAATTGTGTATAACATATTACTTTCCTAAAACAAAACAAAAATATGAGTTGAGAACCCCAAAGTGTTAAAGTAAAGGATTGCGGACACTGGGCTCATTGGAGACAGGTAGTTATTACTGGATATCTTTCCTGTGTGTGTGAAGCAATGCATCTTATAGTAAGGCCAAGTATGAATAATGAGAGTCATAATTTTTTACATGTATCTATAGACATTAGCCAGTATATCATCATCAGCCTCTATTAAATAGTATTTTAGCCCAGGATCTTCAGGTCAGTCCTCATTAATTTGTTCATCACCAATGTTTGGCCCACAGCCTGAACTTTTTAAAGTAGGGAAGTATAGATGTCAGATAATTTGGTCCTGGAGACAGTGATGGTGGTCTCTCCTAGCTTTTCTCTGTGTTGTTTATCTTAATGAAAAACAAGAGATTCGATGTAACTAAGGCAAAAAACAAAACCTGGTAGCTTTCCTAAAGAAGTGGAGTGGGGGGCATTATAAATTAAAACTCATGTTTAGCAATAGACTTCTCCTGTTGAGTCAATGTTGATTATAAACCAAGGCATCAGAAATGATCCTCACAAAGTATCTTTTGTCTTGTGATGGTCTCTGTTCTAGTGGTTTTTTAATAATAAATTTCTTGGGATGTAGGGAATGGTGAGGGTGAGAAGAACTGGTGTTTCTAAGTGGCTGAGTGCTTCCTAAGTGCCATCTTCCTGAATCCTCCGTCAGCCCAAGGTTTGAAACTGCCCTCCTATTCTCCATGAGATGTCTGAGAACGGCTGCCTAAGGCAGTCCAGCTCACAGATAACAGAATTAAATCAAAGACTGCAGAGCCCGGGCCCTTTCCACAGCAGTGTGCTTCTTTACCCAGAAAGAAACTGTTTTCTTTAAATAAACACTAGACATTAATGTGACATGACAGCTGAGTGAAAATATAGCCTTAAATGGCCATTACAAAATGAAATTATATTGTCTCATATATTTTGGTTGCCATAATATGAAAGGGCCACTTCTATATTAAAGGATCATGCATTTAAGAAGGCCAGCCTACAACCTGGAAAATGTATTTTGGGAGGAAGAAGCTCCATCATGACACATGGCTGTCCTCTAGCCTTCTGTAGTCGTTTCAGTTTTAAACACCAGAGACTTCCCAGCACCCCATCCACAGTGGTCTGCTAAAAAAGTCAGACCACCTGCTGCTAAAGCTGCCACTTCCTCAAAGCAGTTACATGTTTTAGGGTCCCTCTGAGTCCCCAGGTCTGTAATGGCAGAACATTTTAAGAGTAGGGTAAGAAAAGTCTGTAAAAATGGCTCTTTCTCATTCCCCATATCTGTTTATTTCACTGGCAAAAACAAGTTTTACAAGTTTTTGCAAAACCGCTAGAGTTTTAAGATTAAATAGCTTTCTTGCCTTAATTCCCAATGACAATAAAGTATGTCTAATAAGTACCAGTTAACACCCCTAGACTTTTAAAAAATATCTGTGGAAGATTACTACAAATGTCAACATTTCCAAATATTTTACTTCAGCAAAAGCCTAAATGTTTCTGTAATTACAATAGTTCATTTTGCAGATGATCCTCTTTTTTTGTGTATGATAAATATTGTCCCATTTCAGGGTCTAAAAAGAATTGGCAATATACAGAACTAACATAACTTACAGCAGTTTAACTGAAGCTTAAAATGGGGAAGCTAAAAGATGGAAATTTGTCCACTGAGTCAGTTCCAGTGATTAAAACAAAATTGCATAAACATTTGCTGCAACACATGTGGATTACTTATTAGCTCTTCATGCTTGTTATGTGGTTTAATATCAAAGCAAAGTTTTATAAATCAACCAGTGGAGAAATGGCATGACTAGGAGGATTGATGATGTTTAAAAGTGCATTTCAGAATTATTATTCAAATTTATTTATTTGACAGATATTTGACTTCCCACTGTGTGAAACACTGTTCTATGAGCAGGAGAGAAAAACAGACGCAGTATTTCTTGCACTCTGCTTGTAGAAGTTACATAATTACGTGGATTCATTTCTGCAGAAAAGATTATTCTAAATGTTTATTGAAAAATAAGTGTTTTTTCTTCTCACTTTACCTAGTAAATTATTTTCTGAAAATACCTTTTTTTATTTTAAAATTAAGGAACACATTTCATACCATATTAGAGTGGTAATGGAATTTTTCTAATTAAAAAGTCTATGAGATTTCTTCTTTACCTAATATTTTGGATTTTTCTGTTTAAAAAAAATTAATTTATACCAGAATATATGCCAAGTAGGAAAAAGGTATAGTAATGGTTCATTTTTATTTTAAATTCTCAAATGCCATACTTGCTCTGTGTAGCAAGTCAGCTAAGATTTTAGAAGGTACTGTCCTTACTAGTGGATGTTGTGGTTTTTGTTAATTGTATCGTGCGGGTTCTGTATCTCTCTTTGACTTAAAAACTGGGGCTGGGGACATCTTTTGACTGCCCTACTGGGGACAAAACTCTTCTGAGCTGTAGGGGGAAATGGCCTCTAAAGTATCTGTCTAAATACTTGCAACCTCATTTGCTGTCTGAGAAAAGAGGGTAAAAAGCATCAGCAGACTGCAGATTTCTCAAACAGGCTTTTGTTCAAGTCTAACTCTGGGTCCTGCGGGCACGCTGGGGTCTCCGCCGAGCTGATAATTCGTTTCTCACGTTTGCACCTGCTTTGCAGCCTCACAGAGAGGGCGCAACTGCTCAAGAACGTCTTTAAGAAGAACCACGTGAACTTGTACCGGTCAGAATCACTGCAACAAAACCTGCTCCGTAAGTATTTGAGTTCTGATTTTTAAACACATTCTCCGCCATTTCCTCATTGCATTTATAGGAGCAGTATTTTGACTTGAAGGATATTTAACTATTTACAGTTAACACCTAAAACAAATTTTGCACATTTGCAACACATTATATAAATATTAATAACAAATGTTTAGAGAGTCTTTTGACCACAGCCATCTCACTTTCAGCAGAAAAGATAGAGCATTTGAAAATCTTGCTGCTTTCACTTCACAAAAAATATTTCTGTATGCCCCTTGCCTCCTTAAATCTTAAAAAAGAACTAGTAAAATAAATCTTAACTCTTAAAAGCTTACTTGGTATTGTTATCTTTTCTACTTGAATAACTTTGCAAGAGCCTTTTCAGCTTTCATACACAATGACATGTGTGTGAAACAGCACACAATGAAACATATTTCCCCCTTCAAAAATATTTATGAATATTTAGAGTTGTAAGAAATTATTAGGTATCATGCCCTCTTAACATTTGAAGGATCTCAAAAAGAATATAATATATAAAGCCCTGTAGTAAATGTATTTGTGTTAGTAATATATCTTTTGTTTCATGTTGTCTCCACATGTAATTTATTTTCATGTGTATATACTCATGTTTAATGCTTTTGCTCTTCATGCTTCAAGAGGCCTTTTCTAAAGATGGGAGCCCCTTGGGGGTCATTTCTTATCCCCAGGCCCCGTGTGACCAGGCTGGGGCATGAGGGAGTTTGTTTGCAGATGCTGAGCGTCCAGAACCGTGTCTTCGGAGGGAAGTTGTGTGCGTCTGCCTCCTTGCTCTCATCTCCCTTCACTCTCGCCCGCCTGGTCCATCTGGAGTGCATGCTCCCTCTTGCCTGCACCCCGCAGCCCTCCGCTAGCGGGAAGCAGACGTGAGAGGAGCTGGGCGTGGTCTGCTGAAGGGAGAATGCAGGGGAGGCTGCCCCTCTGTCCACCCGGGGAGCAGAGCGCCGAGGATCTAAGCCACCATCGCCTCACTCTTCATTTTGCTCTTGAATCCGTATCGTTCCCAGACATTAAAAATTAGTGTCCTTATGCTTTTAAAGGCAGGGAAGGATGCATTAGCTCCCCAAGTTAGAAAGTGAACACTCAAAACTCAGAATAACAGAGACTTCCTGTGACTTCAAGCTCACCATTTCTATTTTAACTTACAGATGGGTATGCTTTCTCTCAAGACGAAAATGGAATCGTCTCACAGTCTGAAGTGATCAGAGCATATGACACCACGAAGCAGAGGCCTGATGAGTGGTCATGAGTTGGGGGGCTGCGAGGTCAGCTCTGATACGTCCTTTCGGGGAGTCCCAGGTCTTCACCAGAATCTGCTGACCAATTCCAGTCTGGTCCAAGGAGGGGAAATGAATCTGAGCTCATCTCATTGACTGACATTCAGATTCATGTATATTATAGACGTAAGCACTGTGCAACTATACTGTAACACCATCTCTTTCAGATTTTCTAAAGTATTTGCTAAGTCTTTGTAAACAGACATTGAAAATGACCTTGTATCTTGCCAGAGTGTTGTTTTTTTTTTCAACTGAAAAAACGTCAGTATTCTTTTGCTGTTACTCTGGAGCTACAACTATCAGTGTCTTGGATACACCACAAGGCTATTCACCATTAAAAATCTGCAAAATGGTAGTAAGTTAGAGGGACTCTTGATATCCAAATTTAGATTTCAGAACATGCTGGGTGGGGGGAGGAAACAGCCTTCTTAAAGAAGCCACTCACTGGGCAAAATTTCTAAACGAGACATTATTGATAAGTGTTGGTGTCAAAAACTGTCTTGATAAATGTTTGCCAAAGAAGTTCAATAAATGTATTACTATTTCTCCTTCAGTAGTAATTTGCCCAGAAATTTACAGGAAGGTTTACCTCCAGTTCTGCTGTGAGATCTGCATGCCTGACTTTTCCAATCTCAGAGTGATTTGTAAAAATGAGTATTTCAAGGCATTTGCTACTAATATCTGTGATGTTGCACCTTTGGCCTTACAAATGCTTCTTTCTCATTTGTCTTGTCTGTCTGTTCAGGTGGAAGTGCACAAGTGATTATGTGACTGTCGTTACAATACTGATTTTTAAAACTGTACTTACGTCTCCATCCTTTCTAATGACATTTCATCATCATTGAGTTTTTTCTTACAACCTGGCTTCTGCTGTAGATTAAGTGATGTCATTTTGCCTTTGAGTTTTCTTTCTTTTTTTTTTTAAGAAAAATGTACTTAAGTGTTTATGTGGGATTTCCAATACTTCTGTCGAGGTGTTTGTAAAACCATGTCAGATAAATGCCTGGGCTTCTGTAGTGTCTGTAGGCTCAGCTTTTTGTCCTGTGTTTTGGTTTTCCCGAGTAGTGCCCGTTCCGGATGCCTGTTGTCCTTGATGGCATGCCCCAGGTCAAGGTGACTGCCCTGAACTTAAAACCAAGAATGGCTTAACAGTGCACTTGTCAAGCCGCTCCCAAAATTAGGCACATGCTGCTAATTGGAACAAATAAGTGGTACTTCCCCACCCCCCATTTTAAAAACACCTATTTTATTCAAGCCTATAACTTTACAAAGAACTCTGTTCATCATGAGTAGATTTTGTTAATATGCTTTAAAATATAGATTCAATTTAATTGTTTCAGCATTTCCAAGATATCTCCTGAAAATGCCTATTTTGCTATACCAACAATTAATGGTGAAGGGGCTGTTTAAAAACCACAACCAGTTTTCTACACTATTTTTAACATAACGCTTTCATGTAGAAATAAAAAGAATTCTAGCTTTCAGATACATTTCAGAGATTGAAGCAAACTTTTTGCCTTGTATTCAAAAGCCTGTTTGCCTTTAAGTGGACTTACCAGCAAAATAGATAGAACTTCCTCTTTAAAAAAATAAGTCAACTACAATTAAGAAGAGAGGTGATTTTCAAATCACTCCTTGAGTTTAATAATTTCACATCTTTTTCACCCTTTTTCTCGATCTAGATTTAAAATTTTAGTCTATATATTATTTCCTTCTCTGAATTTTTAGCTCTTTAGTTACGTGTATGCCTCCCACATATTCTACAAATAAGAGAGGTTATGACATACATAATTGGAACTTAAAAGGGTTAAGAAGGTGACTACTTCACTCTCCACACCCTTTCCATTCGGAGTTCAGATTGAGAAAAGCATGAATTTAAATATGCAAGACCACAGGTCTAAGAGTCTACGATCATCTTCAAAATTCAGATGTCACAGTGTTTGTTACTGAATGGTTATTCAGAGCATCTGGGCCTCCGTGATGACAGGTGAAGTCACACCACAAAAAAATGGAAAACAAGAATCAAGTAAAAGGAACAAAGGCTTTTTTAAAAAAAGAAGAATGAAGTACATGCCTCGGGAGAAACACTTAGCAGTTCTAGAAAAGGGCTGCTTCCATTTCCCCTCACCTCACAGGTGACATCCTTCGCCATAATTTTAATACAGAAATGTGATGAGTGTAATAGAACTGAATTTTCTGACTTAAGAAAACTGAAAGCTTTATTTTTACCTGGAAACATGATTTGTTTCTGTGGAGCTCTTCAACATGAGTGGAGGACTCATGGTTAATAATGTGAAAGAGCATAATCTGAAACATGACTGATGTATGCCTTTTTGTCCCATGGCCCTGTTTTTGAATTATCAACATTAAGTCAATCTCTTAGCTTCTCGGTAGGGAGTTGAGGGGTAGGCAGCAGGGAGTGACCACCTTGGTAAAACTTAAAAGACAACATCGCAACTGCAGTGACTTTGTAGTGTTCGAGAAAACCCTCCTTTTTTTAACGTTCCTAAGTGGGGTGGGGGTGGGGGTGGGTAACACAGTTTTACCAGGATTAAAATAAATAGTTGAAGTGACTTTTAATGTGTATTTTCTGAAATAAGGGACATTCTTCAATTAAAAAGTCCCTTATAGGGACTCTGGCAAATGCTAACACCATTGCTTAAATGTTTACAGTTCAGAAAATACTACTCACAGCAGAAAATCCTCATTCATTTTGCATTGAAAAGTTGGAAGTTGCTTCCTTAGCATTGACTAGTACACAGTGATATTGAGCATGAACTTTCTAAATGTTTTATATATACATATAAAAATATATTGGTGTCTCACACCCAGAAAAATGCTATATGGTAGAAAGTATGAGCAGGAAAGCTGGTGTTTCTCAGGAATGCAGTAAATTTTAAATGGAATAAGCGCCATCCACCCTCCCACACAATACTCTGGCTGACATGAGCCTGCTTGGGCAACGCAGCAAAGTTAATGGAAAACTTCCAATCAAGTCAGGTGAAAGTGTATTATATTCAGTATTAGCCATTAACATGAATTGTGTGGTCACTGAATGGAATCAGCGATTCCTCTTAATTTCCAGGGGAAAAAAATGAATTCAAGAAATCTACATTTATTCTGGTCATTACATTTTGTATTTTAATTTTGCAGTCCTGCATCCTACATATCCAGTGTGAAAATCATGTGATAATTTGTTCTGCATTGTGTATGCTGCGTATCACTTATCTGTCACTTAAAATGTTCTTTCAGGAAATGAATACTAATCTGAATGTACTAGATTGCATATTCACAAATTTTTATGTATAACAAAGTCATCATTATTACAAAGCTAAATAATCATTAGTGTTTATTTTTATGCAGTTTGCCCTTTAATATGTCCTGGTTCTAAGACATATCATCTAATAAGTCTATAATCATGTACAAAATTTATTGAGCAAATTGCCACCCTCTTCACATCATATGAACCAGGCCCATGGAATTCTTTTGTAAATTATTTAGTGTAAACACCATGCAGTCTGGTGCCTAATAAATGCTTTTTAATGATGAACATTTCTATAATGCCTCTTAAAGAGACCATAGTCTAATTTTTCTCACATTAAAATAAGTGAAGTCACTTGTGAAACTCTTATACTTTGCTGCATTTTAATTAACCTTCAACAGCTATTAAAATGGAATGTAAGTTGAATTTTGAAGGAAAGGAAATAAATGTTTTCCATTTTTTGCCTTGATTTATTTTCTGTATGAGAGCAGCTGTGTTTTTGATAGGTTTATGGTTTGCATGAATTAATATTTAAAGTGGTCTAGGCCAACGCATGGCTATTGCTGTAAATCTTGATGTTTATTTCTGCCTTAAAATTCTCTCATGGCCTACCTGAGACTTAATATTCAGTGCACAAATTAACTGGTCCTCCACACAACTTTTTTTTTATTAAGCAAATCATTTTACAAACAAATTTGAACTAATTTAATTGAAACTTTTGTTTAGCTTGCCTCTAAGAACTTTTTTAATAAAGCTCACAAAATTTCTCAGCAAATAAATCTCCCTTAAGTAGGAAAAAAAAAAAAGTTAGATTTCATACTTGCTTACTTTGAATTAACAGCAACTTTCCATAGGTAAATCTGCTCTTGCAAAGATGTGAGCAGAATATTTAAAAATACGTGTTTTTGTTTCATAGTTCTAGACTAGAAGCCATAAATGCAGTAAACCCTGTTTGTTGTTTGTTTTACTACTTCGAGCTTCATTTTTCACATTTTCAAGTTTATTAGGTTAAAAAAAAAAAGGCAGCCTTGGAAGGCAGCTACTATGGAAAATTGCAGTTTGCATTCAAAATAAAATAGTATTTTCAGCTCCATGAAAAACCATTCCTGCTGAAACTGCTGTAGAAATTGTGACGCTGCATGAGTGGAGAGCGCTGAATCTGTGATTATAGTAGTTTTCTCAGGTGTGTTTATCTCGATGTTCAATGCACTGTGTTTTATAAACAGTTATTAAAGTCGAGTAATATTCAGTTCTACGCAGTGTTATGTGTCATTGGCCTTTTGTGAATGTGCATGTTTTAAACTGAAAATTTTAAACATTTTTGTCCTCTTATTAAAAATGAAATAAACTGTACCATTACATAAAGAAAAGCGTTCATTTTAATTGCTAGTTTTAGAAACTATATTTCTTCATAAGACCTTCAAAACTGCTATAACTATAGTTTGAGAAGGTGTTTAATTGTTTAATAACAATGTTAACATTTTATCTACAACCCCAATGATAATTGAAAATATCCCTGCATTGTAAATCCCATTCAGTGCAATATAAAGTGGAGTATATTAACTCTAATTTTATAAGAGTTGCTAGTTCAATAATTATCAAAAAATTAATTTTTGGACTTCCCTGGTGGTCCAGTGGTTAAGACTCCAAGCTTCCAATGCAAGGGGTGTGAGTTCAATCCCTGGTCCAGGAACTAAGATCCCCACGTTCTGCACAATGTGGCCAAAATAATGACAATAAAAATAAAATAATTCTAAGTAAGGTTACTATATTTTGATTCTCAATCAGAAAAGCCTCCAAGATTGTCCTCGTTACAGGTTTAAATCAGCCTGTAAGTCAACAACTAAGTCGCGGCTCCTCCTTTCACATAAGATGAAGTTCTTAAGCTTTCTAAACCTCACCTAAAATTTTTAAGCATGTGAGAGAGTGGCCACATTTGGCCAATAAAGTTTGAAGGAAGTAACCGGAAAATAGTAAAATTGCCACGTGAGACAAAATGTAGGCAAACCTTGGAAATGAGGACAAGACAATCAAAATAATCACCATTGATAAAAGGAAGGAACAACGGAAACTGCAGTTTGGAAAACTTAGAACAGGATGAGTTCTCAGAGACCCACTGGGGAAGCCACGTGCAGAGCCTCTGGTTCCATCAGAGTGAGGGGCAGTGCGTGCTTCCCTGTCTGGGACCCCACTCCCCTCCCCACAGCCTTTTCCTGGGGGCAGCTATGAGTATGGGCCCCCCCCCCCATGCAAAATCACAGCAAAACAATGTTCAGAAAAGTAACCTGCGCAGTATGCCAAATATTTTCACTTTCAACACCATCCCTCTTAAAATAAGCACCACCTTCTAACCCCACCTTAAGCAAACGGCAAACTTGAAATGCATAAATCCAGAACATCGTCCCCATGTAAAGATTGTTTTTATGTGCTAAAGGCATCTCAGACCTAAAGCTTCTATTTCAGTATACAGAACCATTCATTTTAATGAAGAAATATCTTTCTAATCTGGATCATCTCACTAGTAAGCTAATAAAAATTGTTGGAAAATGCAATATTTTTTACTATTCAGTCTTTATTTCAAGTACTATGTAACCAGCAACTCAAATGTAAACTCTTGTCAGAATAACTTCATTAGCAACTGTTTAACTAAAATTTTGAAAGTCATACATATAAAAATATGTGTTTGTTGCCTTAATAGTTTAACATGCTCGTAAATCCTTATTTTTCCTGAACATAATGCTAAATAAGCCTTTTAGGTTATGCACAAGTAAACTGATCCGGACCCAGTGAAATGTATCATACTCCTAATTGTGATTGTACATATTCTGAGGAACCTTTTGAGTTAACTAGTTTTAGAGAGAAATTTTCCTATAGGTCTAACTCAATCTGGCAAAATTCTCTTCCATGGGGAATCGCTCAAAATCAATGAAAAATAGGGTGGGAAAATAAGAAGGAAAAATCTATGCATTTGGGACAATTAAAATTACAATCTATTAGCTTTGGAGTGAATAAAAGCAAGTTTATTAAATACATTTTTCTAAAATAGATTCACAGGCTCTGAGTGCAGGGTGGGAGGGTGCTTGCTCTGTCTTGGGCAATAAGAAGTTGGCCAGGTATTAAGAGGCCATGGATTACCAGGGACTAATTCTATCAAACCGTCGGGCCATTTTCTCTGTTCTGTGCCCTCCAATCAGCGTTACAGCTCCCCTTCCACAGTACTCAGCCTCGCCTTTATCTGCGAGGATATTTCGTCTGCTTTCTATCACGTACCAGGGACTGATGACAGCTCCCTCCCCACTAGACAGCAAGTCACGGGACAGTGATTCTGACTTCTGATTCCTAAGACAAGCCTCAGCAGGAGGGTACAATTAACATCTCCATTTTACAGACGAGAAAGCTGACACACAGTGACATAAAGTAAGTAGCCCAGGCCTCTCAACCCATGGGAAACACCCAGAAAACTAAGCCAGACACTGTGACTCCAGAATGTACCTGGATCAGCCCCTGCTGTCCCAGTTTTCTCGGGTGTAAAGACAGAGATGTTTGCCCGCTCGTGTTTTTGCTTCTGTTCTGTGCTCTGTAACATTCTGTGTTCCCCTAACAAGGCACCAATTCCGTGCATGGACACAATCCCCCCTGTCTATAGGGTGTGTGCAATGTTACAGTCAATGTTACAACTCTCCCCCGAAAAGGTTTTCTGAAAAGTAGGTCGGATTTTTTTTTTTCCTAAGAAGATTAGGACTTCACAGTACATGCCATAAAGAATGTAGGGTTTCAAAGCAGACAGTGGGCCTGGGTTCAAATCTTGGTTCTGTCATCGTCAGTCTTGGGCACAGTGTTCAGTCTTTCTGCTTTGATCTCTTTCTCTGCCAAACAGGCATGGTAAGAGTCCCGACTTCAGGGTTGGGAAGATTAAATGATACATGTCGTACAACACACACATGGTGTTTAATAAATATTATCCACTATCTGCAACACCTCGAGTAACAGGCAAATTTGGCCTTGGAGTACAGATTGAAGCAGGGCAAAGGCTAATAGAGTTCTGCCAAGAGAACGCACAGGTCATAGCAAACACCCTCTTCCAACAACACAAGAGAAGACTCTGCACATGGATACCACCAGATGGTCAACCCCGAAATCAACACCAGATGTTCAACACCGATTATATTCTTTGCAGCCAAAGATGGAGAAGCTCTATACAGTCAGCAAAAACAAGACCGGGAGCTGACTGTGGCTCAGATCATGAACTCCTTATTGCCAAATTCAGCCTGAAATTGAATAAAATGGAGAAAACCACTATACCATTCAGGTATGACCTAAATCAAATCCCTTATGATTATACAGTGGAAGTGAGAAATAGATTTAAGGGACTAGATCTGATAGACAGAGTGCCTGATGAACTATGGA